CAAACACAGTGTCAGAACCAGTATCCTGGTCAGGGGCAGAGCTAAGACTTTGATACAAGGAAAATCTTCATGTCTTTTTCCAGATCACTTATTTCTCCTTCTCTTTGTCTTTGTGTCTTAAATCAACTTTCAATTGCAAACTTATACAAAAGTCATTCTAATGAGTTCATTCTTGAGTCTTATCTTGAATCGTTATTCTTTGTTGCTGTTCTTTTTATTTTTAACTAGTCCCTAATTGGTATTCTCAAGAGGAAGATGACGTAAGTTTGGCTTAATCAAATTGGTTTTATTTTTTTTTATTTTTTAAAGGATTACTAAATAATATTGATATTCACTAAACTGAGTTAAAATATTGAATTTTAAATCTGACCTAAATGTAAGATTAAAATGAGTTTAAAATTTAAAATATTAAAATAAAAAAGTATAAAGTATAAAAAAGAGAGAAAACAAACTAGAAAATATGAAAACACGGACAACATGAGAAGAGAGCGGGTGGTCGAATCCTATGTTGGATTTTGGCATGAATATAATAAAAGAGATGGAAGAAAATGTGGCGGGGCCCTGTCACTGAGGTCTTATGAGCCCACATATATATGATGCTTGGCAATCTCTGGCAAAGGCAGTCAACCAGGCTTCTGACTTGGGCACATGTTGACGAAAGATCCAATCAAATGGGTACGCATAACGCTGCTGGACCCATGGAAGGAGCAGGATTCTAATTTATGGGGAAGAATGAAATCAGCGGAAGCAAGGAGTTTTAAATGGAAAACGTTGATTTGGTTTTGGGCTGTGGGGTTATAGGCCCATAGGTGAATGGGTCATTGGGGTAGGCCCACGGCCACATGATAGGGAATTAACGGTGGGTCGAGGGAGTGGGCAAGCGTAGTCAACCATGCAGATGCGGTCGGGAAGCATGACGCCGCAATTTTTGGGCCTTCATTAATTACTTACCAGTACTGTACTTTGGGAGTGTCACAAAATTTCATGTGCTTTCCCCACTCACCGCCTCCGGGTTAACAATCCTGAACTACTCCCTCCACATCTATATATAAAATATTTTTTAAAAAATTATTTTATTTTTAAATATAAAAAGTGATAATAATATTTTTAAATAATTAAATAAATTTATTTTTATTTTAAAAAATAGAATAGATCATTACTTATATATTTTTTTTTACTATCATCATAATATCATAATATTAATTATAATATTATTAAAAATAAAATTAAAAAATTATTGTGTTTTTATGTAAGTTTAATTAAATAATAAAATTTTATTAATATATGAGATTTAATTAACAATATTTTATGTATAAATATGGAGGGAGTATCATAAAGCGACGTCCTCTACAACATTTCATAAATATCCGCAAGTTTGTTCTTACCCATGTGACATCATCCACTATTATCGTTACCCATTTGATAAATGTTTGTATGTAAGAAAAAAAATCAATTAATTACCAAAATTATATCTAAAAATAAAAGAAATAGACTAAAATATCAACGTACTTAAACAAAATAAGACTACATTAATTATTTTTATAAATAGAAATTATAAATTTATGAGAAGTAATTTAAAAAAATTGTAATAAATATTTATTGAGATACTAATGTGATTTTGCTTTAAAAAATAAAACAATAAATGACAGTTTCTCCTATATAAAAATAGGAGGAGTATCATATAACATCCACTCTTATCATATATTTTTTCCTCTGATATTTTAAAAAATGGGAGAGTATTAGATAACATCCACTCTTATCATATATTTTTTCCTCTGATATTTTAGCTAAATTATATTCTCAAGGAGTTAATTGATTACTTTTAACTCTACATAGGATGTCTCACTTAAAGGTAAATTGAGTAGTTTATTTATTGATGATGTTTTTTTAAAAAAAAAACTCAATAACCATATATTAAAAAAAATTAAAAATGCTTTATATTTAATTGAGATACCTTTTGCTCTCAATGCCCTAGATAGGTAATCTCTGTTGATGAAGCCTATTCTTTATTTTTGTAAAAAAAATTATCTCATATTTTTTAACATATGATATAAAAAATATATTATATTTTTTCATGAAGGGAGTACTATTTTTATTTTATTAAAGTATAATTTAATAAAAACATTTTTTTATTGAAATATAAGCTTCAAAACACACTTACCGTTCACTCTGCCGCTGTTTTCTGGTGTATGAGTGAAGTATTCCACCCCCCCCCCCCTTTCCCTCCGTTTTTTTTTTTTTTTTGGGGGTGTTGAGAGACGGAGGGAGTGCTTCATCATGCATGTATGATGATGTATCCGATCCTGGGCCCTCTTTTCCATTAAATGAGTTAGATATATGCTGTTTATAAGATAACTGGAGAATATTGTTTTGTATTTGCATGAAAATTCCAAATCGGCCATGCGAGAGACACGGCTACAAATACTTAGATGGGTTGAAACTCGAAAATCTAAGAGATAAGCGTTGAAAAGGTCAAATAAAGCATCTTAAGGGTCAGATGAAAAGGGATTAGTGGGGCTGCCTTTTTAGTTTCTTTTTTTAACACTAACATAATATAAAATTTCAGCCTAATACATTTAACGTAAGCATCTTATTTTCGGTTGGGGAGGGGGGTTGAGGAAGCATAGATCATAGGTATGTTCGATTCATACTATATATTCACCATGTGTAAATAATACTATTACAAAGGTATATATACATTCTCTCTATCCTAAATTATAAAATAATATGATATAAAATTATATATATTAATAAAACTCAACAATGATATTTTGCAAATTTATTTTTTAAAAATAAAACTATAAACTTTTAAAAAAAAATCCTTCATTTAATATAACTTTCAATGTACAATTATTATTTTATTAAATTAAATTATTTTATATTTTGGAATAACAAAATTTGTTATCTTTTATTTGGGCTAAATATAAAACGTCGTTTGTCAAAGCATTGAGTAGGTTATAAAGTCATATGGACTAAGTAACTGAAGAGTCAAACCCAATTAATAATCTGAATAAAGAGATTGGCCATGAGCTCAATGAAAAGCCATGATAGGATGAGCATACCGAAATCCCACCAGTTGCAAACCTTGAACTGTTGGTACAAAAAGATACAATCTTAAATGATTCCAAATCTCACGAGAGTAACATCATCATGCCAAAGTATCTCAACAAGACAGGTTGGTTACCAAAAATGAAAGACAGTGAGTAAAGATCATGCCATAAGTTTTGTGAGATTTATGATTCTTCAAAAGAACATTCTAGGTTTTAAAGAAGAGGTTGCCATCACGCTGTCACTATAAATAGAGTATCAAAGTACAAAAAAAAAAACAGTCAACACTTAAAAGACTTACATTCTGCACCCATAATTCTTAGGTTTATCAGTTAGTTTTATCTTCAATTTAGACTTGTAATCATTTTATATTTCAATGATAATAAAAATACTTATTCTATCAATCTTGTGTATCTTTTATATCTGAGTAAATTATGGCAAAGGAGCTCAAAATTCTTTTATTATCAATTGAGACTTAGTGTCTCTAACACGTCTGATAACTTATTATTTGCCAATGAACATCTTCTAATTTGGAATGTAAGAAAGGAGTATAATATTATACTAATATTAACGATATTAAATGTACCAAAATATGATATTATAGTTATGTGACCGTTGAAGACATCCAACATAATAATGTACATAAATATTTGACATTAAAAGATGCGTTGGATTAAAAATAGTAAACCATAAAGAGGGAAAAGCATGCCTCATGCCAGGCAACGCCGTGTTAAAACCGTCGCCCCGTCGTAATAGATTTTCGGGTTTTAAAATCAGTTGAATTTCGCAAGAGATTCAATTTCACAAGGCGCCACGGATGATATTATAATTATAAAGGGGCGTTGAACTGATGATCCGCTCATTCATTCTAGAATACTACTCCTCTAATCTAATTTATTAATCATTTTTTAAATGAGTAAAATAATTAACTTTATAAATTATTAAATTGATAGTAATATTTTATTTCATATAAAATATTTAAATTATTTTTAAAAAATAAGAGAAAGGCAAAAAAATAATATTATATAATTTAATTATTTTTTTAAAAATTATGTTTAAAATTTTACTAAACTTTATTTTTTATAATTATATTATATTAATATTGATGATATAGATAAAAATAATTTATAAATGAGATCCAACGAAGTATTAATTACTAGTGCCAACCATCATTATTAACGCAGTCAATTAATGAGGCACCATTGACCTGGCACTCGCAGTCACAATAATGCCCTTCCTTTTTTTCTTTTATTCTTTATTTTAAAGTCGCATCATTTGCCAAATCATAATTTTCTCAATTCTTTTTCTCCCCTCTCAGTTTGTGCAAAGTGCAGATTAGTGATTACGATCTGTGTCAAATTGGCATATATCTTGTTTTCCAGTAACCATCAACGGGACAAAATGTTAACTCTCAAGACCACATTCAAACTGGATCTGCATTCCGTGGACAAAATAAAGGGCAGGGATCACCCATAAGGGTGATGAGCACGGAATGCAGATCCCATTCAAACCACATCTAAAATACACTTTTATCAAATTTAACCAATAATTAAATCTCTCAAAATACACTTTTATAATATGTAAATTGAAACCAAACACACACTTCATGTGATATACCATCTTTTACATTGTGGCTGCTCTGCTTTCCATTCCAACCATTTTTTTTAATTTTTTTATTATTTTCATACAATAAAAATGCAGCGTATGGGACTGGCAAAATTAATCAATTTCCGTAGTACCTATCCACCACATATACGCCCTATATTGCAGGCATCCCCATCAAAAATTTATGCCCCGACCATTATCCGTTTAACCAGTGTCAGTACCAGTATCCATTAGATAAATGAACGAAACAAGAAGACCAAAAAAAAAAAAAAATCCATGGCATATATGGAGCCCTGAAGGAAAATGCACAGCCTTCCAAAAAAAAAACAAAAAAAAAAGAAAAAAGAAACACAATTCCGAGGCTTTAATTCTTAACAGAATATATAAACGTTCCATTCGGCAGTAACCATATACGGTCACAAGACATGCTTCTGCAATTTAGTTACACTGCTCTAGCTGTGTGCCTGAGCCCTACCACCAAATCATCACCAAGGTCCTCTTCCCTTGGCAACATGATTTAAATTACATGAAGCCCAAACAGCACTACCCAGTACCCACTGGTTTGAAGTTCTCTGGAGGAAAAGAAAAACACCAAATGCAAGTATTCTAGTTACAAGCCTGTCTAAAATGGTATTTCCCTTCCTAAATTAGGTTAATATCCCAACAAATGCCACTGAAACAAACATGAACACGACAGAATACACAAGCACAAGACACGCATTCATATAAATATACCAAGTCATCTTCAATATCCCACGCAAACCTAATCAGAGTCAGCAGCTGGCCAGATCAGTGCATGGTTTCTACGCTCTTACCCAGCTCCTCCAGCCTCTTCATCCTTAATCTCTCGCTTTCACTCACCAGCTGTTCATGACGAGCATTCACAAACAAAACATAAAGATAACACCTCCCGTATCAGAATAAGAAAACTAATGAAATCAGAGAAACCAAATCACTTGGCGGCAACTAAATGAAATGAGACCAACCTCCATCAACCTCGTGATTAGCTGTACTTTTTCCCTGTTCTTTTCATTGAAAGCTTCGAGAGCTTCTTTGTATTCCCTCTCCTGTAACACGTTGCAGCCAGTTTCAACAATGTCCCGGGTAAAATATAGCACTACATATATATATATATATATATATCAATATTCAATCTGTTTCACCTTTTTCTGGCAGGTATGGCCTAGGGGCTTTAGGTCTTTGTTTATCGAATCAATCTTCTTCCGGACCAGTGCTACTTCCTTCCTCATCGGATCTGCCAGGCTTTCGAGCTCCTGATATTCCTCAAATACAAGAACGGAAATAAACATCAATATCCCCATACATAATTACAATTGCATATAGTTATATGGCACCTTTGAGCCTAAAATAAGGCCATGTCTCACTTCATCAACTTCTGTAAGACACAAACTGTGTGGCTCTCACGCAGCAGGAGAGACTGGAGCTTATGGGGCCTGAAAATTTCTGGAAAGTTCAAAATTCAACATTCCCCCGTCGGAAATCGAGGGAAAAAACTCTTCTGCGGCTGTAAATTCTCCAAGTCTTGCGTACAAAGCCACACAGATCGGCCATATCCGAATGATTCAATTATTCTTCAAACCTATATCGTTCTCCTTGTTAACAATAACAACGATATACAGGAACATACATGAAAAAAGTGGAACTCGAACATGTCAGAAATTCAGGCCGTGATAAGTTTACAAAAACCCCCAAAAATTAATCCTTTATCATGAAAGGTAACGCAATTTTCCCTACTTTCATTCTTCCCCTAACCAAGAATTGCTACATATTTCAGAGCAAAGAAGAGGAGAGAGAGAAGTAGTTGAGATCACATATCTAAACCTACTACTATTTCTCGCGATAAAGCTAATCCCATAATCATCGTTCGGCAGCGAAGTACAGGAGACACTTACTCCGAAATCGTAGTCGAATTTCGAATAGCAGTCATTAATAAGAAGCATACCTCACGAATCAAGGCTAGACGCTTGGTTTCTTCCTCAACGCGACCCAATTGCGCCTGGACCCTCTCTCTCACCTCCATCTTCTTCCTTTCAATCTCTTCTTCTTTGGCTTTGAAAGTTGAGAGAGCTGACCTCGACATCTCCTCATCTTCCTTGGACATCTGGCTGCTAAAGCTGAGGCTCCCTGAATTCTGCACCACCAACTGGTTCTGCTGCGTATTCTGCTCGCTCATCTTGTCCAAGTCGTCGGTCCAACAAAAACAAATCCTGTTTAAGTCCAGCCTTTAACAAAACGCTCCTTCCCCCTTTTATTCTGCTTCCTCGATTCCTCTCTCACTCTCTCTCTCTCTCTCTCTCTCTCTCTCTCTCTCTGCTTCGCCTCTCAGACAATGGAGCTCCGTCGTCGTGGCTGATGCAAATATGCGCTAATTCACATTCGGGTTGCTCTTTTTGTTCAAAGCCTTTCGATTGAAGCGTCAAGCCGGCCAGCCTAAGCCTCTTCACCTTACTTTTTATAGACCAAATGAGAATATGGCAAAAGAAAGGTTTAAATAATAATAGAGAAAAATAAATTAATTCGCGAACGGAAACGCGAGAAAAAGATAAAGCGGGTCCCCAGGCTGGATCTGGAGCAACGGGGTTGGTTAGAAATTGTAATGACAATTATCAAACAATTCATTAAAAATTCAGAAACGAAATACAGTTCCCATGCGGATGACCTGATCCAACTTACCCATCTTTTTCTTAATTCCACGTATCTCTTTGTTTTTTGGTGAGCAACAAAACCTTAAAAGGAAGACAGATATTACAAGAGCATGAGTTGATTCGACCCGGCTACTGCTAGCTAACCACTGGTCTGGAGGGAGCCGGAGTGGTCTCCACTTTACTAAATCAAAGTGGGTTTGTCTATGAACTTTTCAAACCTATCATCTTTCCAAGTTCCCAATTTCACCATTCAATTCTACAATTTTCCAAATTACTTGTATTTAAATTGCTTCTTCAATTAAATTGTAGATGCCTTGTTCTATTTAAATTTGTCGTATTCTTTTTTTCCTGGTTTTTTTTTGCCTCTTTACTTATTTACAAATATGTATTCATAGATTTAGTTATTTGATTAGAAGTATAGTGATGTGGAGCATTTCACATTGACTCTTGTTATCGTTGCTTTACTTATAATGGCTTGGAATTTTAGCATAATTTTCTGTCATGAAACTCGGGCCAAAAAAAAAAAAACAAAGAAACTCAGGCATTAAAAAAACAATTTTCCTTTTTTAAATCGCCCGCTATTAGTTTTTCTTAATCTTTCAAATATAAAGTAGCCGTTATAAAATATGAATATGTTCGTCCCTTTGGCCTTTAATGCGGCTATTTATGTCACTTTATATCCTGCAGAATCAGATGGCAAAATATTGAAGGCAACAGAAAGTACGTCGTATTCTCTCAAAAAACAAAAATGTCGCATTAATTGCAAATAGGTTAATAACATAGAGAAATTATTCCTTTTTTTTAAATTATAAGATATTTTTTTAAAATAATTTAGCATCTTAAAATATAAAATATTTTAATAAAAATAAATTTTTATTAATAATAATTTTTTAATATTACCTTTTTTATATATTCTCTTTCTTTAATATTTTTTTAATCAATGGAGTCTTAAATGAAAGATATTTTTAAAAATTTATATTTATATTTTGAAAAAGTAAGGTTATAAAATATATTTAATGAGCTTTATTGGTATGTGAGATTTTATCTAAAAATAATTTATAATTTAAAATAGAAAAAGGTATAAAGTACTGATCAGTTGGGATTCATTGAGAGATGCTTTTATATTAGTGTCTAATAATTTAGTATTTGATTGTGCTTTAAATATAAATGTCTTTAATAAAAGAATACTTAAAAGTAAAAAGAAAAATTATAACACCTATGGCCATCTCATTTTTAGAAATAACAATTGCTTATTTATAACAGATTTATGTCTCAAGACCTTTTTCTTTTTGACATTCTTGCTTCAATATAAGTCCAGACTTGGCTTTTTTTTTTTTTTTAACCTTCCATTGAAAATCAGTCTTTGAAAAAATTATAGGAGTTTGAATCTTAAATATGCACGTACACCTTGTTTCCAGTTTTATCAATCAAGCTAGCCTCGGGTAGCTTGGGATTTTTTTTCTTTAAATGTTTTGTGAAACTTAACATTAGCATATATTTTAAAATGTTATATTTTGAAGTGTTCGCGGCAGACTAATTTAATCTCATCACACCAACCTCTCACCTAAATTGATGTGATATTAACATAGTTTTGAAAATTAAATAGAACCAAGAGCAGTGTCTGCTTTGTCTTTTGCTTTATATAATAATAAGAAGGCTTGAATTATTTAAGACTACGTACTGTCCAGGTGCCACCTACTTTCAGCATTTGAATTATTGCTGGGCGGAGTTTTATTCCTTTCGGTCACTCTCGACTAGGAGACTGAGCATGAGAAGAGCTTGTTGTAACTTGTAATTAAGTGGTCAAATTTTCTCTCCGTTTTTCAATGTTTTGGTGGCCAATTTCGAATGTTCAATGTCGAGTCGATATGCGCTTTAGATATTATATAATTGATAAATAGCATCCAAGCACGTTACAGTTTACACACAGTGAGGGATGAGCAGGATAATGCATGGGTGGGTTTCATTATAAGATTAAAGTATAAATTTAACTCCAAATTTTGTTCGGAGATACAATTCGTATCCTAAATTATTTTTTCATGCAATATTGCTCTAACATTTTTTAAAACAATATTATTTTACCTTAACCTATAGTCAACTTGAATATATTTAGGTGGCATTACTCTCACGTAGCAAGCAACTCACTGTTTTTTTTTTTTTTTTAATTAAAACCTTGCTTGGCTGGAAGAAAACAAGCATGGAAGAAGGTTGACTCTTTGCCTTCTTCATCTTCATTCTTCACCCACCTCACCTTCTTTGTTGTCCATCTTCATTTTGTCAAACACATCCTCTAACCAAGCATTTCCCTTTCACACGACTAAGCATGCATCTCCCTTTTACAAGATTCATCAGCCAACAACTTCATCGACTTCACCACCTTCATCTTCTTCGTTAACAAGATTTCAAAAATTGAGAAACAAAAAATTCCAAAAATAGCAACAGTCCAAAAATTGTAAAGTTCCAAAAATTGAGAAATAAAAAAAATTAACAAAATTTTTGGGACTGAATCCGTGTGAGACTAGATTGCTTCTTTGAAATTTTTTTCAAACCAAATTGCTTGTTTAACTTTGTTGGTGACCTTTTGAACCCGAAGATGACTTGAATCAATGACAATTTTGAACCCGGAGATGATTTTAAACCTAGACTGCTTCTTTGAACCATATTTCAAACCAAATCTCATTCTATAACTGCTAAAACAGCCTTGTCGGGTTTAGTTCTTCAATCTTCGACTAGCGCTTCAACCTCCAATTCTTCAACCTTCAACCTTCACGTCAGTCTTCTATCTTTAACATTCAAATGTTAGTGATCATACTCGAGTGCTCCTTCAAGCTTCCCCATCAATTCTTTGATCTTCTTCATATTTTGGGAAAGGAACTCTTTAAGGATTTAGGGATTCTTTTTTTGGTCGAAAGAAATTTGGGTATGTTCACTCAAAGAAGAAGAAAGAAAAGATGAGGTATGCAGGACCCTTGATACGTGGCATTGATATGTGACCCATTTAACAAGGTTTTTGGGACTGAATTCATGTAAGACTAGATTGCTTCTTTGAAATTTTTTTAAACTAGATTGCATGTTTAACTTTGTTGGTGACCTTTCAAACCCAAAGACAATTTAAATTAGTGGTGATTTTGAATTTGGAGACGATTTCAAACCCAGATTGCTTTTTTTTTTTACCATATTTCGAACCAAATCTCATTTTATAGTTGCCAAAACAGCCTCGTTGAGTTCAATTCTTCAATCTTCAAGTTCTTTGGCCTTCAATTATTCTTCAATCTTCGACCAGCACTTCAGCCTTCAGTTCTATAATCTTTGACCTTTACTTCAGACTTCGACAATTGTATTTGTGTGCTCCTTCAACCTTCCCTTTTAGTTTTTCTTTATCCTCTTCATTTTTTGGGAAAGGAACTCTTAAGGGATCTTGGGATTTTTTTTTTAATCAAAGGGACATGGGGATGTTCATCTTGAAGAAGAAGAAAGAAAAGATGAGATGTGTATTGTAGGACCCCTGACATGTGGCATTAATGTGTGACCCATTTAACACGTGGCATAGCATCTCAACAATTTACGGTCCAACAAACAGTCAACAATTTGATTTTTGTTAAGGGAGGGTCAAAGTGTATCGTTTTAAAAAATGTTATAGTGATATTGTGTCAAAAAATATTTTAAGATATCAATTGTAGTTTTGGAAAAACTTTAGAGACAAATTTATACTTTAATCCTCAATATATTTGTTCGTTCATATTGCAGGGAGACCATTGCCGATTAACCATCAAACCCTCATAGGGAAAATAGAGGCTGTGAATAACTCTGATTAACATGACACTCAAAACTTTTCTAGTATTTTCTCGACGTTCCTATTGGCCACAACCTAATTCTGATTTTAATGGACAAGGCCACGCGTCAATGATATATATGGATGATAATAATATATATGGATGATCAACTCATATTCCAAGACTTGGGTAACTCAACTAGGGAGTGCATTTTCCATATCCCAGTGCATTTAACTCTTAGCACTCCATCACACATGTGGGATCTATGCAATGTATAAAATCAAGCGTTAAAGGATGGTGACCCAATAGATACCACGCTATATGTCGTCTATTGTAAGGAGTTAAACAATTTGGTTTAGTTGAACATTTGCTTTTGATATTTGCCTGCCATGTCTTCAATGTACAAATGTGATTGGAAAAAAATACATATATTACAATTCTACGGTGTGTTATATGACTCCTGTGTTGTACATCAACATTTTATATTGAAAGTTTATTAAATAAATAATAAACAAAATAAAATGAGTCGAGTCAAAGTCTTATCAAATACAGGCATAATAAAATCTATCCAATTACCCACACGAGTTTAAACTACTAAAGTTTAGATTATAGTGCATAACAGATGCATCAAAGAAAGAAAGAGAGGGAGAGGAAGAACAAATCAAAGAACCATTTTGTTCTAGTGTATTTTCTACCTTCAACCACCTTCTATATTTATAGTGGAGGGAAGCCATCTTCAAAAATTAATAATAATTTCTCTCATTATGAAGGAAATAAATTGATTTGAATAATTGCCATTATTGCAAAGGATTGTTTCTCTTTTTGGAATTTGATTAATTTCATATTCTGGTCAACACATTATTATTAGATTTATGTTACATTCCACTGATAGCTCATCAAGGGCTGATTTTATGCAAATTCCAACATATATAAACAATGAAGCTGTTTGGTTGTTGAAAAGAATGTGAATGAAATATGAATTAAATGAAGAAGAACAAAAATAAATTAAGCTACACTTCTCCTCAAGATA